CTCTAATGGTCAACAGATGGAGTCTGTGGATGTCTGGCCTCGTGAACGCCTGGATGCAGGCGCCAAAAATGGTGGCAGACCCAATCACACCACGCGTATGTTTTCACTCTTATTCCCTGGGGCTGATAAAAATAATGCTGGAAAGAAACGGAAAGCTGGAGAGAAAAGTGGGCACTGTGCTGTAATTGGTAGATGACATTGGTCACGAGAAGGATCGGCTTGGCAACCATGGAGAGAAGTTGGTTTGCCCCGGTCCATGTGCTGTTCTTCATGGGGGAAAAGCTTTACTCTAAGACCCCCCGGTGGTAAGCAGCCTAGCACCAGCAGCTGAGAGACAAGTGACTGTCTCCCCTTTCCACTCATACTTAACGCTCCCCTAAAACAGAATTTGAACAAATATTTAAAGGTGCAAAATACTATTTGAAATGAACGTTGTGGTAATATCTTGGCATAATGGCCACAAAATACTTCATTGCTTGGCAGAATAGAGGTGTAGGGGCAAGTGGCCCATTAGCATCGAGGAAAGCTTGTTTCACTCAGTAAAAGCAAGTGCAGTGGACAAAAGTATATTCTTCATGCTATTGGAAATGTTTTGTGGAAGTGTGGTGTTTCCATTCCTTTAGCGCAAATAAATTGTTTGGTTTCACTTTAAAGTGGGGAAGAAAAACACAATCTATGTGGGAGATTACATGTGGTGGTTGTGTAATCCCTTGTGACACCACAGCTATGGGATCGTGGACCCAGCGCCCAGACAGACCCTCCCCATGAGGCTGAGTCCTTCTTGATCCACCGATGAGGAAATGAGGGGCCCCAGAGAGAACGCAAGACTAGTTCAAGATCACACAGTCAGTCTATGGCAGGGTTACACAGTTTTCTTACAGAAGTGAGAGTTTAACCACAAAAAGCTTTTTAGAAAGTTGTCCTCACCTGCCTTGCTAGGTTATCTTTTAACTGTGACTTAAAGCCTTCCTTGTGCAGCTCAGAGATCATCTTTGGAGCCTTCCAGAACCTCCTGAGTTGGGCCAAGGGTTCTTCCTCCTATGCCCCTTATTGCCTCTCTTCTGTAGCTCTTGTTATATTTTGTAGAAGTCATCTGGTTGTGTTTTTGTGTTTCGATCCTGCATGTACCTTCATCTTCATAGTTTATTCTGTCTCATTCTTCTTTGTACTTTATAGGAATGGAGTAAGGACAAGCTTTAGTAATGCCCCACCCTCCTTCCTATTTGTGTGACAGTTGGATGGCTCCCAGGAATGCTGTGTGTTAATTACTAAAATTATTATGAGTCTGACCAGTGGTATTTTCAGGAGGTTAGAGCTTGCTCTAGGTTAGAGCATATAGTCTCTGCAAACCTAAATTATTTGGCAGTTGAAGGCCGTTTTGAGTCAGATTGACACTATTGGACAGACTTGGGCAGGGTGGGGGTGGCCTGAACTGTGTTTTTATTAAAAATTTTTATTAAAGTTTGATTCACAATGTTGTGTTAGCTTCAGGTATATAGCAGAGTGATTCGGTTATACACATATATGTGTATGTGTATGTGTGTGTGTGTGCATATATATACATATGGGCTTCCCCAATGTCAGCAGTAAAGAATCCACCTGCCAATTCAGGAGACGAAGGTTCGATCCCTATGTCTGGAAGATCTCCTGGAAAAGGAAATGGCAGCCCACTCCAGTATTCTTGCCTGGGAAATCCCATGGCCAGAAGAGCCTGGCAGGCTACAATCCATGGGGTCACAGAGTCAGACCCAGCTTAGTGACTAAACAACAACTATTTTTATATATTCTTTTCCAGATTCTTTTCCGTTACAGGTTTTTGCAAGATATTAAATTTAATTCCTTAACTATAACCTTCTGGTATTTTGTATTCTTTTCCTTCCCTATCCAGAGGTCACTATTATGAATTTGGCATTTGTTACTCAGAGATTCTAAAGTTGACTCTTTGGGGCCTCCCCCCTAAGGCAAGGGTTCTGTGTGATGGAACAGGAGCTGTGTCTTGTGGCAATAAAACCATAGTTTTGGAGCCATGGTGAGACTCATAAAGATTTGAAATGTGGCAGTGAAGTCAGACTGCAGAGCCAGGGTTCCCAAATCCTAGATTCTTGACTAGTTGGAATTTCCCCAGGGGACGAGAAGGGACGGTGGACCCTGAAAGTCACTCATCAGGGTAAAGCTCAGACAGACATGGCTTGAGGAAATGTATCATTTAGGAGTAATGCTTTTCAAACATTTTTCAACTGTAACCCACAATAACAAATTTTGCAAAGTGACTCTCAATACTTGCGCGCGTGTACACACACGCACACAGAACACATACCTCCAAATGAAGCATTTATATGAAATAATACCTATTCTTTCTTTGTTAGCTGCACTGCAATAGGGTCTGTTTTGTTTTTACAAAGGCAATTTGTCCCAATAAATTGATTTCCCAGGCCATTAATAGATCGGAGCAGTTAAAACAACAGCAGCAAACCCAGGTTTGCAGAACTGTGATTTGTTTCCTGGGGCAAAAGTTTTTTTAAAGGGTCTTTTAGTTTAACTCTACTGAACATCTTTATAAGTAGCTGTTTTCTACTGATGGCCTAAGCTTCAAGATTTATGCCACGATTTACTAATAAAAAATTCTATGTAAAACTAAGCAGAATTCAGAGCTCTTTTGAGGTTCAGGTTATTCTGTGTCATGTTGCTTCTCCTCCTCAGAGCCCTTCATCCTCTTCAACCATTGCTTTAAGGCAGCCTGTCTCAATTAAGTAAACAGAGCTCGAACACAGTGACTTAACTATACTTTATAAATTCATGATTGTTAAGCCACAAAATCAACCTTTCCAAATAAAACTGAGTGTAAGTCAAACTGCCAGGAGAAAAAGAACAGCTATGGAGTCTTTAACTCTCCTTTCACCCTAGTTTACCCTCTGTCTGTATACAGGGCTAACTAAAATCTACACAAGGAATAAAGTGATGTATGTACGTGTTGCTTCATGTTTATTGAATGTCACCCATTTTTGTGTAACCAGACTGCCATCCTCTTCACAGAGCTTTGTTATTGTTGTTTAGTTGCTAAGTCATGTCCTACTTTTTTGAGACCCCATGGACAATAGCCCGCCAGGCTCTTCGGTCCATGAGATTTCAAGAACACTGGAGCAGGTTGCCATTTCCTTCTCCAAGCGATCTTCCCGACCCAGGGATTGAACCCATGTCTCCTGCATTGGCAGGCGGGTTCTTTACCGTCTGAGCCACCAATAACCCCTCTTCACAGAGCTTCCTGATGATCATCATAAGAGCAAGTGTGACAGCACCTCTGTCCAAAGATGTGTATGTAATTGAACCCAGAAAGGTGCAACTCCAGGGAGGCAAAGGGGAAAATTACGTCTCATGCATATTAAACACGCAGTTGTTGGAGATGATGAACTAGATTGATTCCAAGATGCTAAAATGAGTCAGCTTTCTCCAAAATCCTACCAGCAACCACTTTACAAGGGAAACAAGGGAGCTGGTTTCTAAAACCTGGAAGAAGCAGAGGGTTTTGTTTAAGCCAGCTAATTTTTCACAGGAGAGGAAATGCAGAGCTACCTCAGGAAATTTAAATGGGACTGTTGAATAACTGGGGAGGAATGTCTCCTTGGGATGAGAAGGCAAAGAAAAGTTCAGCTGATTTTCAGGGAGAATAACAAAAGTGACAGTGTACATGTTGTGTGTGTGACTGTGTGTAACTTCTAGAACATTCGGGTCTTATGACCCCTTTCTACTTTTAAGAATTATTGAGAACTCCAAAGAACCTTTGTTGATGTGGCGCTTTTTTTTTTTTTTTTGCACCATTTTAGGAATTAAGACTGAAAAGCTTAGAACGTTTACTGACTTATTAAAGACAATGATAAACTCATTATATATTATTAGTAACATAAACATTTTTTTATTTTTTTAAAAATCAATTTTTACCCCCCAATAGTGAAGAATGTTACTGTTTTGTATTTTTGCAAGTCTCCTTAATGCTTGGTTGACTATGACACTTGGATTCTCATAACTGCTCCTGCAAACAATCTGTTGTGATCTGTTGTTTGGGTTGAAATACATGGGGGAAAGTTTAGTGCACCCAGATGTGTTAGTTGGAAAAGAGAGGGTCTCACAGTCTCCTGAGGGGGACTCTGGAACTCCCAGGGGTCCTTGGGTCACATTTTGAGAACCACTATCCTATAAAGTAGTTTGGAAGCATAAACGAGTGATAAGATTACTGTGTTAATCCCTCCGTTCTGTCCAACTCTTTGCAACCCGGTGGGCTATACGCCAGGCTCCTGTATCCATGGATTAGAATTGGAAGAGAGGAGCTCCTTCAGAGGTGTTGCAGTGATCAAGGGAAGAGGTGAGGCGGGGTGGGGCTTAGATGTTGGCAGAAGTGGAGAGAAAGCTCCCAAACTTGAAAGACGTTTTGAACGCAGAATTACCAAGACTTGGAATAGGGCATAAAAGAGAAGGAAGGGTCAAGATGACTAATAAGAGTTTTCTTTTTTTTTTTTTTTTTGGTGTCTGCCTGTATTATTTTTAATTAATTAATTTCTAGCTCTCCTGGGTCTTTGTTGCTGCACACGGGCCTTCTTAATTGCATCAAGCCCGAGCTACTCTGCTCGTGGCGTGCCGGCTTCCTCGCTGCGAAGGCTTCTCTTGCCGTGGAGCATGCGTTCGTGGACACTCGGGCTTCAGTAGTTGCAGTTCACGGGCTCTGTCGCTGTGGCTCTCGGGCTCTATCGTGTGGGCTCAGTAGCTGTGGCGCACAGGCTTATTTGCCCCATGGCATGTACGATCTTCCCAGAGCAGGGATTGAACCCACGTCTCCTGCATTGACAAGTCTATTCTTAATCACCGGACCACCAGAGAAATCCTAAGTGTTTTCAAGTATAGAACATCTGAAAAATGTTTTCTCCCTTACACCCAACCTTTGCCCTTTTCTGAAAATTATCCCAATGAAGTTCACTGAAGTCTTCTTTTTTTTTCCTCCCCCCAGAGTTGTCCTGCCCACCCCAGGGCTTTGGAGAAAGTCAACCGCTTCCCAGCCTGCACTGGTCACAGTCACTTCCAGAACAAAGGAAGACCTATGACGTCCCTGGGGACGTGGGACCTATGACCTCCCAAGGGGCGTCCTCGCTCACTTCGCTCGGGCCCTGCAGGCAGTGAAGGGCTGTGGGTCCAGCTCCTGTGTGCACCGGGCGCCGGCAGTCCCCCCCGCTTATGCACTCCAGCACCCCCATCAGCTCCCTCTTCTCCTTCACCAGCCCGGCAGTGAAGAGACTGCTCGGCTGGAAGCAAGGAGATGAAGAGGAAAAGTGGGCGGAGAAGGCGGTGGACTCTTTAGTGAAGAAGTTAAAGAAGAAGAAAGGCGCCATGGACGAGCTGGAGAGGGCGCTCAGCTGCCCGGGGCAGCCCAGCAAGTGCGTGACCATCCCCCGCTCCCTGGACGGGCGGCTGCAGGTGTCCCACCGCAAGGGGCTGCCCCACGTCATCTACTGCCGCGTGTGGCGCTGGCCGGACCTGCAGTCTCACCACGAGCTGAAGCCGCTGGAGTGCTGCGAGTTCCCGTTCGGCTCCAAGCAGAAAGAGGTGTGCATCAACCCCTACCACTACCGCCGCGTGGAGACGCCAGGTGGGTTTCCTCCGTGGTTTAACTGGTAAGAGGGCGCGTCCCGGTGAGTGGGGAACCAGGGGCCACGGGCAGGGGAAGGAAGCCCCTCCCACCGCTGCGAGAGAGACAGAGAGAGGTTCAGTTTGGAGAAGCCGATCCAAAATTTTGTAGGCAGAATAACCTAGACAGAAGATCTTTCATTTCAGCATAGATGTAAGTTTTGTGTGATTTTGGAAAATGCCGTTTTATTTTGATGTATTTTCGAGTCATCGTACAGTTCTTGAAAGGTCTGAATATGGTCTTGACATGATAAACAGTTTTAAAAAAAATCTTTCTCCCCAGCTCCTCCCCTTGAACTCAGCTGTACTGAACTAAACCAGCCGCACTCTCCCCACGCTGAAGTAAGCAGAGGTGTCTTCTAAACTAAGCAGATGATGGAAGAGTTGCTGGAAATCCTTCCAAGACTGAAAACAATGGCAGTGAGGGGAGATTGGCAGCTCTTCTTAAATATGACTTTAAACATAGGAAAGTATTAATCCTAAAACGCTAGACACACGTGTGTGTGTAAGTCCGTGTTCATCTTTGTTCCTTCACATTGGTGTAACAGCTTGACTGCTTTTCTCTTTGAGTGGAGTGTTCCTGCAGCTACAGGGATGCAGTTTCTTCGGGAGCTTCCTCTCCCCATTCCTGGAGGGGCCTGCCCGTGCGCTCTGGGAAGCAGCCCATGTCCATTAGGAGGCGGTTCGGTCTAGGAACGCAGGTGGTGGGGGAGTCCAGCCTGCTACCTGGCTCCCTCCCAGATTCAGTTAACCTTGTACCATCCCTGTTAAGTCCTGCCCAGCCTGGAACAATCTTAGTGAGGTGACCTTTCAGGCTCCTGAATCTTGCCATCATGCTGTTAAACTGATGTCAAGGATGTCACCTGCCTGATCGTGGGCGCTTCTCACAGTCACGTCTCTCAGGATGCAGGATGAGACCGTGATGAGAAAGGCCCACTTGCCTGGTGAATCCATTGTGTTTTTCCCTAGGTCATGTACCTCTTTGCTTTCTTCTCTTTCTTGCTTCTCTCTGGGCTTTCTTCATCTACTTTAAAAACATGTCATGAAGGAGTTTATGACAGAAATGACTTGATTCTTTTTTGTTTCTAAGATTTGAGTTATAGTAAGCATTCAGAATACATCCCATGAAAAATGTTCATCAGGGAATCATTTTCCTCTTCCTCAGTAATGTAGTTATTATATGTGTTTGTAAGATGTATCAGGCATTTCTTTTGAACACTCGAAACCCTGATTTTAAAGGATTATTTGATGTTTTCATTTTTCATATTATGTGAGGTTCTTTCAGGAGTAATAGTATGAATGTTTTTACATATGGCAGGTTTCATATCTTGGTAGTTTAGGTTTGAGTTTCCAAGATGAAAGATAGCTAAATATGGTATTAATTTTAAGGTGATGTTTAAGCTGTCTTTTTTTATTCCTAAATTTGACTTTTTCAATAAAAAGGCAAATTTTATATCTAGCTTTCTGGCCAAGCTTAAAGTCAATATTTTGAGAACAATGAAAGATGCTAATGTTCAGCAAGTTTGCTGGGTCCCTAATTGTCATAAAACTGAAGTTTTGCCTTTGAAATCTCTCATCTTTTGACCACCCATGCTTGGATCCTTGAAGGCTGCATTCTAGATTATTTTTTTCCTTCTCATAACCTACTAAAATAATCTATTTTAGTGCTTTTCAAACTATCTGCAGTGAAGCACCAGTTTTTAAAAAGCTTCCAATCCATCAAATATCAATATTTTTACAATACAAATAAATTACTGGGCAGATGAAATTTTTAAAAGACTTAAAAATGCAAGCTTGATTTTAAAAAATACAGCCTCAGTTTTTTTTCTTACTATTCATTTCAACAGATATAAAATTACTCTGTCAAGTGGCTATTAAGTTTCTAAACACAAACTTCCAGTTTGAATACTTGTATCTGTGTGAACCGGCACCCAACAGCTGGTAAAATCTCACCAGTCCTCAGACCTTACTCTATGTGGCTTGTGTCTGGTAGAAGTGGTGCGAAAATGTTTTGGGGGCTCATAATGATTTTTCTTCATGCAGCGGAGGTGATTTCAGTATAATTTCTCCTCTGTGTTAAATTCCCACACTTTATCCAAACCACATGACTTTCGAAAAAATACAAAAGCTTTTTTCAGCTTTGCTCTGCAGTCCCTTATAGACAGTTAACTCCTTCCATTATCTGCCCCCAGGTCATGCTTAGATAGTGTGGCATTTAAAAGGTAGCATCGTGTTGAGGCGCTTCCCAGGTGGTTCAGTGGGAAAGAATCCACCTGCTGGTGGAGGAGATGCCAGAGACTCAGGTTTGATCCCTGGGTTGAGAAGATCCTCTGGAGGAGGAAATGGTGACCCACTCCGGTATTCTTGTCTGGGACATCTCATAAACGGAGGAGCCTGGCGGGCTACAGTCCATGGGGTCACAAGGAATCAGATGCGACTGAACACACGTCGAGACCAATGTCTGTAAGCTCACTAGGTCTTATTTGCAAGCAGCAGTTGTCACACAGAAATAGAACTGAGTTGATTAAGAATAGGTATTGCTTTAGATTGAATGTCTGTGTGCCCCCAAATTCATATATTGAGAACCTCATGCCCAAGATGATATAGTATTAAGAGGCAGTGCCTTTAGATGGCTAGATCATGAAGCCAGACCCCCATGAGTGGGATTAGTGTCCTTATAAAGGGGTCCCCAGAGAGACCCCTTGTCCCTTCCTGCATGAGGACACAGTGAGAAGGCAGCCTACATCCCAGAGGGGCCTCTGCCCAGAACCTGACCAGGCTGCATCCCCATCGTGGACTGTCCAGCCTCTGGGACTATGAGAAAGAAATTTCTGTTGTTTATCAGCTTCCCAGTCTGTGGCCTATATATTCTAGTAGCCCACAGCGGCTAAGACAGCTGTGGTTTGAGTGAAAGTATTTACAAATATGATCAATGCAATCCCAAGGTTAACGGATCTTGTCAGGCTGAATTATAATTCTGATGATACTATCAGTTTTCCTTACAAATCTCCACTGCCTTTAGTTCTACTCAGATGATAGAAATACATTATCAAGATGTTTGTCTCAATAAAGACAAATTCATCTTCTCTTTTGGCCATGGAGGAATGAAGGTCTCTGAATTCAGATATGAGGAATTCTGTTTATCAATGTTAAGGATACCCTGTAGGTATATAAGAACTGAAGTCACAGAGAGTATTCAAATTCTTCCTCCAAAACAGAAAAGTGAGGGTTTATTTGATCATTGTTAACACTGTGCTCAAGAAGCATCATTGAAAATTAAGCCATGTGTCATTTAGAGTGTCAGCCCCTCACTTTCAGAGTATTCATGAGGCAAGAAATCTTTTTATTCCTCTATATTCATGGAATACATAAAAGATTGGATGGCTTATCATCTTTGTCATTTTTGCATCATGATATTGAGGATTGTTCTATAATGTCATAAGGCAATATATGCAAATACTGGCTTTTAAAGGAGGACGAAATCACTGTTTCTCTGCCACCCTCATTTGTAGTGGTTTAGCTTAAAACTGTTCATCTGCCTCTTGGAGTTTATGTTCTACCTGTAGAACTGAAAATTGTTGCTTGTTAAGAAGAGATAACTGAAAAAAAAAAAAAGAAAAGAAGAGATAACTGTATGATAGTGGGTAAATGGTGGAATTTGTGATGGATATTATTGTTACCATACTGTTCTTATTGTCTGTTTACTCCAAAATATTTACTTTTTATGAAAGTGTTTATAGATACTTGCTTATGATGAGAAATCCATAGAGTGATTTGAAACAACTTGTTTCAGCTACCTCAGCTATCTCCAGGAACAATTTCTTTTAATCATTCTTGCTTGGTTCTTCTGCTAGCGCTCTCCATTATTACTAAAAAAATAGATAATTCTAGATAATATATATGCTTATACATCTATTTCCAAATTTATCACTTTTAGCTAATTTCATTGACTCTAACATAAAAGGTGAAGATTTAGTTAATTTATATCACCTTTATCCTTTCTTCCTTTTCTCAATCTATATTTTGGTTTATATTATATTATTATTTAAGTTAATATTATGTTATTTTTTGCTATTAATTTCCAGTGTGGAATTTGGGGGTATGAATTTTTTCCCTTTAGAAGATTATTAGTCCATTACCTTTTAAAAAATTATTTATTTTATTTTTTGGTTGAACCGGATCTTCGTTGCAGTGCAAGGCTTCTTACTGCAGAGGCTTCTCTTGTTGCAGAGCATGGGTTCTGGAGCTGGGACTTCAGTAGCTTTGGCACATGGGCTTAGTTATTCCACACCATGTGGGATCTAGTTGCTGGCTCAAGGATCGAACCCATGTCCCCTGCGTTGGCAGGCAGATTGTTAACCACTGGGCCACCAGAGAAGTCCAGTCTGTTGCCTTTTGCTGTCCAGCATGGATGACGGGAAGTCGTAAATCAGTTTCTCACGTCCTTGTGGCGACTTTGAGGTGCCCCTCTGGGAACCTTTCGGTTTGTCCTTAGATGTTTGAAATTCAAGATGGTGTGACTATGATAGATATTTTTTTCACTCATTGGGCTGTATACTCTGTGGTTGTTTTCAATCTGATGACATAGATCCTTCTTCAGGCTCCGAGACATTTTCCCCTGTTGTTTCTTTCATCACTTCCTCTGTCTGTTTTCCCTGTTTCTCCTTCTGCAACTTAGGTTGGTCCCAGCTCACCCCTCAACAACACTCCATGGGATAACTTCTTTTTGCCAAGCCTGGGGACACTTCAGAAGCCAGTGGGCACTAGCAATGTCTGACCAATGCTTGCTCTTGAGAATTGCATCTGTCCTTGTTTTTGTGTTGAATCAGGAGCAAAATCACTCATGTTCTTTTTAAAGTAGGGAACCCAGAGGGAAACATACTAAAATGAACAGATAAGTTCTCTATTACTGCTTCATTTTCTACTTATTCACTTTAATTATTATTATTCACTGTTTATCCTTTCCTTTATAATTTTTAGTTACCTTTAAATCTTTCTGGTAAAGACAAGTAGAATATTTTTACTTAACCAGCACCATGGAGCCTAAAAATTTAGTCATCTAAATAATTCAACACAGGTCCAGAGGTATTAATATCTGAATAAAAATATCCAGGGCATGACTTGGGGTTTCATCATGAGCAATGGAAACTGATTTTGATTAAAAAAGAAAGAAAGAAAGAAAAAACACTTTAATGGCAGAATCAGAGGAAGAGGTGAACGATTAGATCCCCAGAAGGTGAGGTAACAGGGCCACGCTAGTCCTCTCTGCTGTGGGAATGAATAGGCAGTTCTTAGACTACTCACAGCAGGAGGATTCTCCTTTTCCTAAATAAACTTTTCCTAAATTGGCTGCGAGGAGTGAAACCCTTGCTTTAGCTTGATTGCCAAGCTCGCTTTTGGAGGAGAGATGGGACCATCGTGGACAGTGCCAGGAGGAGCCCACAGAACGATGGACAGCTTGCGGCCCGAGTGGACAGCGGCGGCAGCCCGCGTCCACTGTACTCGGGGCGCCGAGCCCAGGATCTGATGCGTCGGTTCTTCCTCCCCCAGTGCTGCCGCCCGTGCTGGTACCCCGACATAGCGAGTACAACCCTCAGCTCAGCCTCCTGGCCAAGTTCCGCAGCGCCTCCCTGCACAGCGAGCCTCTCATGCCGCACAACGCTACCTACCCCGACTCCTTCCAGCAGCCTCCGTGCCCGGCCTTCCCGCCGTCCCCGTGCGCGGCCGGCTACCCCCACTCCCCGGGCAGCCCCTCCGAGCCGGAGAGCCCCTTCCAGCACTCAGGTCAGTGCCGGCCGCGGTCTCCTGGGATGCGATCCAACGCGCTTGTGTGGGCGGGGCCATCGTGAGCATCATTTGTCACTTGCAGTTCAAACCGCAGGCTCTAGGGGGCCCTTGGACCCCACCCTCTTGATCAGGACTCACGCCATTTTGGAGCAGCTACCAGTTTCTTTTTTTCTTTTAAAAAAATTTTTTATTGGGGTGTAACTGATTTACAGTGTTGGTTGATTTACAGTGTTGGTTAATTTCAAGTGTATAGCAAAGTGAATCTGTTACACATATACATATTCCACTCTTTTAGATTCTTTCCCCATATAGGTCATTATAGTGTATTGAGTTCCCTGTGCTATACAGTAGGTCCTTATTAATTAGATATTTTATATATAGTAGTGTGTATGTATGCATGTATGTATGTAGGTATCAATCCCAGTCTTCCAGTTTATCCCTTCCCTCTCTACCCCCAGTAACCATAAGTTTTTTTTCGTAAGTTTATTTTTTACATGTGTGACTCTATTTCTGTTCTATAGATGAGTTCCTTTGTAGCCTTTTTTTAGATGCCACATATAAGCAATATCATATGATATTTGTCTTTCTCTGGCTTGCTTCACTTGGTATGAGTAATCAGTTTCTTCTAGTAAAATAAGGAATATCAGGAGCTGACAAGCTCCTGCAGACATGCATAAATGCATCTGGTGCTAGCTGCTGCCATCCACCTCATTCAAGTCTTCCTATACTCATTTATTTAACAGATATTTATTGAGCTCTTATTATCTGCAAGCCTTGCCTGGGGTGCAGGAGCTCTGAGAAACTAGATGGATTTGAACATCATTCTTGGGAATTTCCAGGGATTTTTCCTTTTTAATTTAAGGAATTAGAAGTAAGATTATAAAATACTTCTCTAACATAACCAGGAAGACATGGCCTGAGGGCAGGCAGTGTAGGGGAATCAGTGCAGTGGTAGGCCTCTTCTCTGGCTGTCTCTATCAGCAATCCAAGGGAGCCCTTTCCTTCAAAAGATGGGTCTAAGTCAGGCAACGAAGGAGAGATTTACATACCTTGTGAGAGTGAGATAAAGAATATCCCCAGCTCACAAGTTCCTAAGGGTGTAGTTTTCTGGTTGCTCAGCTGTGTCCGACTCTTTGTGACCCCGTGGACTGTAGCCCACCAGGCTTCTCTGTCCATGGGATTTCCCAGGCAAGAGTCCTGGAGTGGGTTGCCATTTCCTTCTCCAAGGGACCGTCTCAACCCAGGGATTGAACCCATGTCTCGTGTACTGTCAGGCGGATTCTTCACCACTGAGCCACCTCGGAAGCCCTCTTAAGGGTGTGCACAAATGCATTTGGTGCATCTGCTGCGATCTGCCTCTCCTGTCTTCCCATAGTCATTTATTGGGTTAGCCAAAAAGTTTCTTGGGGTTTTTCTGTAACTTCTTAAGGAAAACATGAACTAACTTTTTGGCCAACCCATTATTTGACAGTTATTTGTCAAGCTTTTTTTGTGTGCAAGCATTGCCTTAGGGTTTGGAAAGGAGAATTAAAATGTTAATTGAAATTGTTCCTGTCCGTAGAAAACTTATAAAATGTGGGAGGATAAGGGAGTTGTCCCACCTCTTCGCTTCTGAGTTATACCGTCACTCATTCCTTTCCCTTCAACAATACATCAGCTATTTTCCCTGTGCATCTACTGTCACGTCTATCACACTGTGTGTGTCATTTCCTGCCAGTCTGTTTCCACCACTCAGAGGTCAGCCGCCTTCTTTTGTGTGTCCAGCACAAAGAATCCACCTGCAATGAATGAGACCCCAGTTCGATTCCTGGGTTGGGAAGATCCCCCAGAGAGGGTAGGCTGCCCGCTCCAGTATTCAGAGGCTTCCCTGCTGGCTCAGCCTGTAATTAAAATGTTAATTGAAATTGTTCCTGTCCGTAGAAAACTTATAAAATGTGGGAGGATAAGGGAGTTGTCCCACCTCTTCGCTTCTGAGTTATACCATCAGTCATTCCTTTTGCCCTTCAACAATACATCAGCTATTTTCCCTGTGCATCTATTGTCACGTCTATCACACTGTGTTTGTCATTTCCTGCCAGTCTGTTTCCACCACTCAGAGGTCAGCCGCCTTCTCTTTTGTGTGTCCAGCACAAAGAATCCACCTGCAATGCAGGAGACCCCAGTTCGATTCCTGGGTCGGGAAGATCCCCCAGAGAAGGGGTAGGCTGCCCGCTCCAGTATTCAGAGGCTTCCCTGCTGGCTCAGCCTGTAAGGAATCCGCCTACACAGCTGAGCGACTGAACACCACCAGCAAAGGTTTGTGGTGGATTTCCTTCGAATTTGTGTCCTTGTAATAAGCTAGATAAATGTTGCTCAACTTTAAGGTTCATACAGACCCTGTGGTGATCTCATATAAATGCAAATTTTATTCCCTGCAACTGAAGTGGCTTCTAAGAATCTGCATTCCTAAGAAGTTCCTGGATTGCTGCAGGGGCTGTGGTCCCAGGAACCACACCCAGAAGGGAGTGTCTAAAGGACTTTACTATTCAGTATATCTCAGGGGGCATTCTTTCAAAAGTTAAGGTCCATTTGGAAACCAAATAATAACCCCCTGATTTATCTGTTTTGTAAGTTTATATTTTAGTGCTTATAAGAACACACTCCAAAAAAAAAAAGAACACACTCTAGATACAAGAATTACTAGGATACGCAAAGAAAAGAAAGATACTATAATCAATAGAAAGGTAGAAAAAGAACGTGGTTTGCAAAGAAAGAAAGAACTCTGAAATTGGGTTTCTGAATTTACTGGCAACTTACTTTGAAAAATTTGGGGTGAAAACGTAACATTCATCAATTTCCTAATGAATTAGACCTCTCCCTTTAGAGTCTATTTATGCCATGAAATAATAATCCCATATATACACAAAGAAGAATGTGAGTCTATGTGGAATTTTTTTTCTTTCTTAACAATTTTAAATCATATGCAGTATTTTTGCTTTGATTTTTTATCATATCCAAACAATTATTTTTATCTTTAGTTCTCTGGAAAAGGATACTCTTTACTATAGGAATTCAGTTTGGCAGTAAAATGCTGTCTCAACTGTGAGGATGACATGACCTTCTAACTTCCTTTTAGCCTGTGTTTCCTTTGGATAGGGGGATGAAGTTTGCACAGATCCACTCATACCAATGTTGCCTGGCCCCTCAAAACTAATAAACTTATTTACAAAGATTCCAGCCTTGGGAGAGTCATCAGGACATCGGCCCCTGTTCCCAGGTACGTGGACCAGATGAGCAGCCTGCAAGCAGCTTCCGTGAAAGAGGCAAGTTTGAAAACAACGCACAGCATTGCGCTGGTTCTCACATCAAGCCTTTGGGGAACAGTGGTCACCTCGGTTTCCTGGTGGAGTCGTGAGCTGGGAGGTCCCGGGCGTGGTGGTAGTGATGTCCTGTCTGATGCACTTCTGTTTCAGATTTTCGGCCAGTTTGCTACGAGGAGCCGCAGCACTGGTGCTCCGTCGCCTACTACGAACTGAACAACCGCGTCGGGGAGACATTCCAGGCTTCCTCCCGAAGTGTGCTGATCGATGGATTCACAGACCCTTCAAATAACAGGAACAGATTCTGTCTCGGACTTCTTTCTAACGTAAACAGAAACTCAACGATAGAAAATACCAGAAGACACATAGGAAAGGGTAAAGGCAAATGTGTAATTCCCTTCATATCTTCTTCTGAGCTAACACACACGGCAACAGAAACGAGCCATGGGTTGGCTGCGTGGCCTAGTGGGATGGTCCTAGGGCTGGGAGCTGGGAGACTGTGCTGGGGATACTGTTGGGAAGAGTGTGAGAACTTTTGGGGTCTTTTGGTGCCTCCCCCTCTGAGGTAGGCACAGCATCTTCTGGGAGGTGGTGTAGGGTGGGTGTTAGGAAGATGAACAAGATGAGAAATACAAAGACAGGATGAAATGATTGAAGAGATGTAGCATGAGTTGTTTTTGAGTAGCCTAAAATGCTGAATAGGATGACTTCTGAAGAAGAGGAATCGGTATCAGGTAAAGTTACTTTTAGAGACAGATAAGGGAGCTCTTTAGAAAATCAGTGACTTGTCTGTCTGGAAGCCTTTGATAGGGGGTTGGGGTTTCCTCATGTCCAGGCACTTCTACAAGAGCGGAAGAAGCACAGGCCTCACTCGGGCCTGGAAATGAGGCCTTTGGAACCCACCTCATTGGTGTGATTGCCTCAGCCTTGCCTGAGGCCTGGTTGAGGATCTTTAAGTTATCTCTTTCTTTCTTTTTGACTGTGCTGCGTCTTCGTTGCTGCGCGCGCTTTTCTCTGGTTGTGGCGATCAGGGGCTACTCTCTAGTTTCTGTCCACGGGCTTCTCGTTGCCGGCGATTCTCTGGTTGTGGAGCACGGGCTTTAGGCGCCAGGGCTTCAGTAGTTGCGGCTCCCGGGCTCCCGAGCACAGGCTCAGGAGTTGTGGCCCACAGGCTTAGCTGCTCCTCGGCATGTGGGATCTTCCCAGACTGAGGATGGAAACTGTGCCTCCTGCATTGTCAGGAAGGAAGGCACCAGGGAAGCCCTCATATTTTCTTTTCTATCCAAAGAGTTGGCAGTCTGAATGATGCATGGTTGTCCCCTGAAATCACAGGTGTAAAGAAGCTTTGGGGTCATTTGATCTTTTCTCTCCCCGTCCGGAACTTACACCACTTTGGGAAGTAGCCACAAGCCTTTTCTTTTACGTTTCCAGGGAAGAACCATTATTTCATGTGTGATGCAATCTGTGTTTTCCCTAACTATCTCCCAAATGTCTCCTGTTGTCAACCTACAGACCATCGATTAGACGCAGGCTGAATTTGTTCAGCGATGTTAACCCTTCATGGTGATAGTTACTTTATTTTATCCTGTATCTTCCCATAGTGGCTCTGTGGTGGCTTATGAGAAGCCTTTGTAGAGAAATGATAAATGAAAAAGGGAAAATCAAAAGCTGGGGGTGAGTCAGGGAGACGAGTACAAATATGTCATCCCTCAGAATTAGCACTGTGATTATGACTGTGGTTAAAATTTTCCCCTAGGCCCCCAGAGAGTTCAGAAAACGGAAACTTAATCTGTAACTTCTATCCCAAGAGGGAAATATAGTCATTCCTCAAAGGAATTGATTACTTTTGACTTCTTAAATTTCTCAGGATGGTTTTACTTCGGAATGATTTTTATAAGGATCTTCCGGTGATCTAAAGATAGAATGTTAAAATGTGCTGCCGTAGAGCCATTTGCTGCAGGGCTTTGCAGATTGGTCTGCGCGAGAGACTTCTACTTAAGCCACTTGATCTAAAAATAGAATTAAAATATGCAGAGAGTGTTGAATACCTTCTGGGAAGCTTTCTGAAAGCAGCTTATTCAAGGTGCTGCTGATGTGGACCGACAGATGTGGAGGGCCGGTGTCATGTTACTAACTGAGAGATAATCTACAGGGTTAAAAAAACATCAGAGCAAGATACAGAGAGACTAGGAAATGCTCACCTGGATGGAAGGACATCCCACCCTCAACAGGGTGCCCAAGGCAAAGGCACAGTTTTCTCAGAAAGCTGCTTTGGAATTGCCTTAATGTGGAAAATAAAAAGGCGGGGGAGCTACAAGGCATGCCGTAAAGCATGGCATGGGATATTTCCAAAGCAAGAGTGGTTGGTCTTCTTTGAGGTCAGGGGGACCTCTCTCGGGCTCCTGTGGCTTGCCTGGTTCTGAGCTGCATGGCTTCCTGGAGCACCAGCCTGAGTAAGTTTGCAGCTAAACACACCCCAAGGTTAGGGAGCAAGTTAGCTTGTTAATTAACTAACTGACTAATTCCGTAACTGCGGAGTTAGTTACGGGAGATGCTCAAACTTCAGAGATATGCATTCATCTCACAAATATTTATTGAGCATCCGCTCTGGGCCAAACGATTCTGCCACTCGGGATATAGCAATAGGAAACAACTAAAACAAAAAACTCCTGGCTTCGTGGATTACCTACTACTAAAGAAAGACAAACAAGAAATTTTATACACACATACACATATGGGGGCTTCCCAGGAGGCACTAGTGGTAAAGAGCTCGCCACCCAGTGCTGGAGATGTAAGAAACATGGGTTCCATCCGTGGGTCAGGAAGATCCCCTGGAGGAGGACGTGGCAACCCACTCCAGTATTCTTGCCTGGAGAATCCATGGACAGAGGAGTCTGGCTGGTTACAGTCCACAGGATCACAAACAGCTGGATACGACCTGAAGTGACTTAGCGTGCACACACACACACACACACTAGGTCAAATGATAAGTATCTAGAGAAAAACAGGAGGGGAAGAGAATGGGGGAGCTAGGCAGGCAGGCTTCCTAAGGAAGTGATGTCTGAGTCGAGAGCTAAAGAGGGAATCAGCAGTGTGGATACCTTTCCAAGCAAAGGGAACAGCATGTGCAAGGGCCCTGGGACCTGCCTGGCACAGTGTGAGGAACAGCAGCAACGCCAAGGCAAGTGGAACAGAGTGAGCAAGGGGGCGAGGAAGTCATAGAGGAGGAGGGGACCGAGCAGGTCTCATGGCCTGGGAGCCATGCAGAGTGCTTTAGCTTTGCCTGTGTGACACAAGAAGGTGGAATTAAGTTGGAGTTTATAGATCTGAGTGTTCACTTTAAAAGGATCCCTTGGCTGTTATATTAGGATGAGACTGTGGGGTTGGGGGGTAAGATACCTATAAAGATTCTTTTTGCTATAGTTAATAATGGGCCTTTTCTCCCCTCAGTAGTTATCAGTTGCTTTGAGGTCACTTCGGTTTGTGTTTGTTGCCACCTAGGGAAGATGGCGGTCCACTAAAGCAGATCCGTGCCTCCACCCCGTCAGCAGCGCATGTACTTTGAGCTTTTGTCTGTGGTGGTGATGGGTCACGTGCTGACTCGCCTGTGCTCTTTCAGCCTGCTCCCCATCTGATGCGATGCACCGTGAGGCAGAGGGCTTGGCACGAAGCCTTTCTCTGTAACCTTGCAACAGTTAACACGTCTACTGCTTTGACCTCTCTGGCCAAGAGCTTTAAATAGCCTTTAGCAAGTTAGCACTAGAATCTCAGAGGTTGCACCTTCAGTATCAGAGGCAGGACCTCAAAGAACCTGGAACACTGCCTTCTAACCTGAGGTCTGTCCATACTCTTCCTTAAAAACGAGGCACACTGCCTGAACTCTTCTGAATGATTCAGCTACTCCCACAGATTCCCAGATCTGAGAGGCACCCTGGCAGGCATTTACACATATTATTGCTTTATAGTCACTCTACAAGTTAGGATTTCTTAGTCCCATTTTATAGGTGAGGCACCAGAGGCTCAGAAGAGTTCAGGAGCTTATCCATGGTCCCACAAGTGATACGGATTTTGCACCCATGGCTCTGTCTATCAGGCCCAGTTGCTTCCTTCTGCTGGAGGGGAGGGACCCTCCTGCTTTTTCATCTCAGCACCCCTCTTAGTTCAGTGCTTGAGGAATTGAATCTTTTGATATGGAATGAAAATGATTCTCGTGTGCCACAGCCACAATATGTCATAATCAACTCTGAGATGTTGAAATAAGGCCCTCATTTTGTACTGCAGTGATGAAATTTTACAATCATTTACTTTAAAAATGTGAATCAGAAAAGATTTTGTGTTTCCCCCCCAAGAATACTCTAGAAAAGCTGTCCCACACTGAGTTACACTGAGCTTCACGGGAGGATTATTAGCATCTTTATAGGAAAAAAAGATGAAGAACTGCTGACGTATCACACCCGTCTGTGACTGCGCAAAATAAAGCCAAGGTTATTTCCCGAGGTTTGGGGAAGGATGGAATAGCCCGTTTGGGTCACTGGAGTGTACAGTGTGCCTGCTTTTTTAGAGTGGCTTTTACAATGGCCCTGATTTCCAAATGAAGAGGCAAGCCGCAGTCTTGAAAGGACTGCGTGAGCAAACGTGTGCTCTTAACGGTCATTGAGAGCAGGTTATATTTCTTAGAAATGCACAACGTAATATCATCCTAGTCAATAGCAGTGTTCTCTCTGAGCACCTGTGACTGTGCTGTCACTGCAGTCAGCACCATTGACCCACATAGGGAGCCTGCTCCAAGTTCTTGGTGTGGAAGAACGCTTGCGGCAGGACGGACACGTTTCTTCTTTGCGGCTGCAGACGAGCTGCGTGTGTCCTGGCTGCTGGCTGTCCTTCCTCCCGTGGGAGAAGGAAGGGGTAACCGATAATTCCTGAGGCATTAGCCCCACGTATTGAACTTACCGGGACTTGCCAGGTGGCACTAGTGGTAAACAACCCACCTGCCAATGCAGGAAACATAAGAGACGTGGGTTCGATCCCTGGGTCAGGAAGATCCGTGGAGAAGGACATGGCAACCCACTTCAGTATTCTTGCCTGGAGAATCCCATGGACAGAGGAGCCTGGTTGTCTACAGTCCATGGGGTTGAAAAGAGTCAGACACGGCTGAAGTGACCTAGCACGCATAGACACACACTGAATGAGGCAAACCCGGACCTTCCCAGACATAATTATCATAGATTTCAGATCATCGAATTGCTTTGGGAATTAGTTTTTCACTTTTTTATGAAACTTTATTTTCTTGTACATCTCAAGTTGTTCTGTGGAAATCTAGTAATGCTTCCTTTTTTCGTGAAAGGAATTATCCTGAGACAAGGGTTTAGTTTGTC